CTATCTGTGACCTAAAATGCTTGGTCCAAGTTAAACAGCTTAAGGGCAATTCTCATCTGTTTTGTTTGATCTCATCTGTAGACATTTATTAAAACTGGGGATGTCAAACAACAAATTTTTAAATGTAATTAAACATAGGCTGTGAATTAATCAAAATTGATCACTATTTCCAAAAATGACTGAAAAAATAAGTTGTCACACACTCCATGGAAACTTTCAGAGAATCCACAAATAGTGGCTTTCAAATGGTTTTGTTACTTTCTGCAAGTTTAGAAAAGAAGCAGATGAGACAGCATGTCTGATAATTTAGTTTTTCATCTGATAATATTAGAACATGTCAGTAATGCCTGAGGGGCTTTTATAAACACTGTATAACTAACACTACTGGAGAGGGTATGAATTACACAGAGGCTTCTGGGGAGCCCAGTTATTGGGGGGGGGGGGGGGGGGGGGGGCATTTTGCCTTGGCCCCCAAAATGTCTTGAAACGGCCCTGGGTGTGTGACTGAGTGTTGAAGGTGACCTGAATAGTATCAAATTTATAAATATTACATGTGTGTAACTTATTGTTTTATACAGGTAAAAACGTGTAGTGGTGATAAATCTATCTACATTTTACTTTTCAACACTTTGTTTTGTTTTGTTGTTTTTATTGAACTATTTGCTGTCCTGTCTGTCTCTCATCTTCCTGCATCTCCTCTTAATTCTCCAGAAAAACTGCTGCCTGGATTCTTTCTTTTTCACCTCATCAGTTACTTTTGAGCAGATCAAAGGGATCTCCTGACCACAAAGCGCAGAGCGTGTTTTCGATGCGTCAGTGAGGTGAAATCACCGCAGCACAGGTGATGAGCTCCGCAGTAGCAGAGCGCTTCAGGCACAAATAAGACAGAAAATAGAGAACATGTGCAGACATGAACGATCGTGTGCTAATTATAGTTTTTTGGTTGTGCCACTTTGAGAATGGACCGTGCGCTGGAAGCAGCTGCCTGGATCGCTGCGCAACAACGCGCTGTGCCGCTCTCTGCTCAAAAGAGTCCAAAAATGATATAAATGATATAATATAGAAAACTTTTTTCCGGCTCCCCTGATGTGTAGGATATACAGCTCCCCCATAATTCGATCCCTGCTCCTGGATGAAAAGCCGGACATTTTCATCAATACAAGAACCAGCAGTCCGGACGCGCCGGACAGAGTGAAAAGTGGACATGTCCGGGGAAAACGGAACGTACGGTCACCGTAGTCCTCATAAAGCGGGAAATTATAGATACAGTATTTTGCTCGTGCCCTGGGCCCTTTAGAGTTCGTGGGCCCTGGGCAATTGCCCAATTAATCCGGCCTTGGGCGGAACCGGTTCGCAGCAGCGCGAGTCCCCCCGCTCATCTAATAAGCGTCGCGCTCACGACTTTAGACTTTTTTTACGAGCTTAGGGCATGTCTAGCCTGTGTAATAATCCGGGACTTGAATGAATCCCTTTTGAAAAGTTTTTAATGTACCCGGACACAGAGTTCTCTCCTTCCTCGCTGATGATCCCGACATGCTTGCGTTTAAGACGCTGCATCATCCTGTGCCATGCTAAGTCTGACCTAAACGTTGCAGGTAACGCATGTCTTTGCCTGATTTAACTGAAAATGCTCCCAAACTTAAAAAGCTTTTACTTTTTTGACTCTCGCTGCTTCTGCCATGTTCCTCTTCCAAACAACTGCTGGCTCTCCCTCGCGCTGATCTGCCGGCTCTCCCTCGCGCTGATCTGTCTGCGCGCAACGGCGGGCGGGAAGGGGGGGCGCTTTTGGAAGAGTTGTGCGACACAACGAATCGATGACGCAATTCGTTGCCAACGCTTTTAGTAATCGATTTTCATCGAATTTATCGATTCGTTGTTGCAGCCCTACCCACTAGCAAACGGCAATCTTGAAGCCACAAGGAAAGGAGCAACAGCCAAATACCCAATGAGTAAGAAAAGTCCTAAGAAGTCAGCTCAATGGCAAGAACAAAATCTGGGCAATAAACAGTTACGCCCTAACAGAAATCCGATATCCTTAAGGAATGATAAACTGGCCAAAGGAAGAAATACAGTCCACAGATGTTAAGACATGGAAGCTCCTAACCATGCATGGAAGGTTCCACCCCAAATTCAGCACCCTGAGTCTGTACACTAACCGTAAGGAAGGAGGCTGAGGACTATGGAGTGTGAGAGCCACTGTCCAGGATGAAACATCCAAGATCCATAAGTACATCAAGGATAAGGCCCCAACAGATGACGTGCTCAGTGAATGTCTCAGACACTGGAGAACAGAGAACAAACCCAAATATGGGATGTACCACAGTCAGATATCTGAAGTGGCTGACACCAAGAAATCCTACCAATGGCTTGAAAGAGCTGGTCTGAAGGACAGCACAGAGGCACTCATCATGGCTGCACAGGAACAGGCCCTGAACATCAGAGCAACAGAGGCAAACATCTACCACACCAGACAAGACCCAAGGTGTAGGCTATGCAAAGAGGCCCCTGAGACAATCCACCACATAACTGCAGGATGTAAGATGCTGGCCGGGAGGAGCTTGGAAGGATGAGACCATCCACGGAGGGTGAGATGGGAATGTTTTTATATTGTATTATTTAGCACCAACATACTTTATTACTTCACCCAAAAAGGACTTAAGTGAACTTAAGACAGAGATAAAATTAGAACCATGTGTAGTCAACAGATGTCTACTCAAATATGTCTAGATAACTTTAACCCTCTGGAGGCAGGCGTTGCAGATTTGCAACAGTTAAAACCTACCTACCTGGTTACTCCGCGTACGTATTTCCTGAGCATTTTTTTTTTACTCAGAAGTACCCCTGAAGGACTTAGTGGTCCGTCCTTTTATCAAAACTTAATTTGAGCCTGAGCGGGTTAAGGATGTGATGGTTAATTTTTCACTCAGTTTCTGACCTGCATCACTGAAACTGAATTGAAAATAATATGAATGAATAATCTGAAATAAGATTTTCTTACTGTCATCATTTAGGTATGAAATGAAATGTTTAATTTCAGATATGCAAGTAACAGGGAGCAAATAAATGAATCTCTGCATAAATTCCACACATTAAACATGATTCACATTTTAATAAAAAAGTACAAAGTCAATTTAAACAAATTATAATGCTAGAAGTTTTAATAAAATATATGTACAAAGTGCTTTTTTTGCGTAAAAAGGATAGAAAAGCTACAAGTTTGGAGAAAAATTAAATGAAAACCTAAAAACAGTTGCAGGTTTTTCCTTCAGGAGGAACTTCATCTATGAGTAAACACCTTTAACTGGTTTTAATCTTAAAAGGAAAACAAGAGGAAAACATTTCCTTCCAGTTGCTGGTTGTTTCCAGACTTATCGACGCTCACCTGCCTCACTTCCTGCTTTGTGTCTAAGACTTGCATATTTTAAGTCTCTGGAGTTTCTGGGGTGAGATAAATAATTCAGACACTTTCCCAGCTTTTTACCATCACTTCTGTGCAGTTTCGCTTTGCAGTTGTTTCTGATTACTTCAATATCTCCTCTTTAATAACGGATTGGGATGTGAAGGGTGTACAAATGACTATTAACAGAGAATGTGACTCCATTTAACAACTAAAAATGATAAGATTTTATCAATCTGTTGGTGTTTGTGGCTCTTGTCCAGAAGACTATAAAACTAGGCTTTAACTATATCCTGCATAATGGTCACGACGACAGTGGACAGTTACCCAAAATTGTTATGTTTTTGTTTTTTGCTATTAAGCACAGCTGCTGAAGACTATTGCATTTGAACCCCCCATTGGACTCTAGTCAAGCCAACATATTTCATGTTCAAAACACACGCTGTCCACACAGGTGGATGTGCAATAAATTATTGTAAATTAAATGTTGAAGAAAAAAACTTTGTTGAAATTTGTTTCATTCATTCCTAAAGGTGAATGAAATAAATTGTTATAAAAAAATCATGGTTGAAGATGTCCAATTTCATGCATGAAAGGGTTAAATGTCCAACTTCTAATAATAAAAAAACTGCAAGAAGAAACTTTTCTAATTCTCGGGGCCCCAGCATTATTCATTTTTAACCATTACTTTCTTTTGAACTAAAATGTTGGTTTCAATGGAATGAGGATTTAAATCACAAACAGAAAACTTGGACAAATGTTGCCGTTTGTGATTATGTCACATGGCCTAAACCTTTTACACAGGTATAAATGTAGTGTTTCCTTCTGAAAATTTGCAGATTTTCCTATGATTGCATCTCAAACGTGTCACCACATTCACACACATCTAAGTCATTCTACGGCAGGGATTCCCTAATGGCTGCGGGAGCTCATAGCGAGTCTGTAATATGTTAGACGTAATCCAGTGGAACCACGGCCAACGGGTGCAGAAGAGTGCATGCAGGAGTAATTTTTTGGCTGAAATAGCACATAACGAGATGCACTGACAAAAGCATCTCCGCTCAGCCTTTCAGGGAGCTACGCCGCGGTGAATCAGACAGAGCTCGGAACTCCTTTGCGCCGTCAGAACACTTAAGCAGGTGCTAGATGCAGAGATAAGCAGTGCTCTAAGTGGGCCATTACACAACATTTCTCAGTACTTCTCAAAGGGCTGAGAACGTTCTCTTGGAGTGCTGGAACATTCAGCCCTGCATTTGTTTGAATCTATTTTGCAAGCTTCCCTCACTAATTTTCCAAACGCTCCATCCACCTCTCACGCACAAGCGGGGGGTGCTGCCGCCTACTCCGAGTCTATGCAGCAGCGTGTACGGCGCTCACATGGTGGACATGAAGGACGGTGTATGAAGCAAATGCCTCTGTCTGAAGTCCTGTGACAGGACAGGAGTATGTTCTTTTCATAGTTGTTTGTTTGACTTTCCTTCATGTGGAAAAAGACGTCTCCTCTGATACAGGTCATTTTTTAAACAAACGCTGGTGGGAGTCAAGCAGACGTAGGAAATATGCACAATGGGTGAAGGCATGGACAAAAACGCTGCAGCACAGCTTACTTGGTACGTACTGTACTGTTTGATGGTGTTACACGTGTTACTTTGTGGCGATGTCAGAGCATCGCTTATATAATTTCGTATGGATTAAGAAGGCGATTGTTCAACCGGTACCAGCTCGACTGAGCCGTTCGCCTGCAGAGGAAGTTGGTTTCAAACCACAATATCCGGGTACTTCAGCTCAAGTATAATCAGTTCACCTTCAGCCAGACTAATGGGTTTACATGCATTAAAAGAAGGATGTCAGTCTATTTAAGGCAACAGTTTGGTTTTTGAAGCACATAACAGTTACTGCTCACTGAGACGTTAGTAGATCTAGCGGCGTGGATTACTGACAACTAACTCCACACCCAGTACCTCCTTGTGTCAGAGAAATTTAGAAGAAAGTCATTTTTAATACCAGAAATTATATTTTCTTTATCTCTACATTATTTAAAACATGTTTCAGATCATAAGATTATATCTTTGGTGACAGGTTTCTTTAAATGGGGTCTTCAATCCGTAACCGCGTGAAACAACTCATCAGTTGTCACTCAGCACGTAGCAGTTCATCATATTTACACTTACAGATATTCAGATCATGGATTTGTCACACAATGGCTTTGAAGTTCCGACATTCCCCCGGTTCCCATATGTCAGTCTCTTCCAGTGTCGTTTCAGGAGAAAGCTTCAGATCTACTGATAAAACTGTGATGGCGGTGCTGGGTTCAGCCTCCTTTCAGAACTGTTCTGTTGGGTGTTAACTACTGATGACGTGGTGGCATCCAGTCCCAGGGAGCGGCAGTACGCTGCTGACAGTCTGTACAGAACATCGGGTCGAGGGCCCGGGTGGGCATCGGCCTTCTGAGTCATCAGCATCTCAAACAGGGTGCTGACCTCAGACAGCAGGGCTCCACCCAGTGGGTCGTCCTTCTCCAGAGTCTTACCTGAGAGACAGAAAAGACATTTTTTTATCACTGCGTGCGTTTTGTTTAGAATTTTCATTATCATTATTTATTTATTTCATCTGGACATTTGTAATAAAATCTGTTTGTAAATCAGATATTTTTCACCAAATAGTGCAGAAATCATACAAGAATATTGTTCTGCTTTTGTTGTTTTACCAAAGGTGGAGAAAGAGGAGGTAGAATTTAGGCCATCGCGTGGTTGGAGCTCGCTTTCAGTGGACGGAGGGCTGTTGGGGATGAAAACGTTGTCGTGGTAATCAGCGGAGAGAGGAAGAGAGAGTCTGGCCATCCAGGCAGGGTCGCTGACCTCAGCAAAAACATCATCTGCATAGAATAACAGGAAACAGAAATAATTAAATATGTATTTTTTAATACTCCAAATGTTTTGATGTACATTTAGTCATTTATTGTGAAGGATTACAGGAAGTCCTGAGTTCCACCATCATAAAAGACTGAGAAACTATACATATAATTATTGTTGCTGCATCTGAAGACATTGATAAGACTTCTGGTTTGCAATTCATAAATTCATGGGAAAAATGATTTTATGGCCCAAATTTGTATGTAGTTGATGTTTTCATGATTTTAAAAAGCATTTGTGTTTCTTTTTTCTTTTTTTTTGGACAAACTGTACTCCTGGCCTATCCTATTGTTTTACTAAACCTATAACTTTGTAATGTTTGGGTTCTGTGTGAGTTCTGGACGTGAACTCGGCAGGAAAACGTGGAAACGACTGTGTGTTTTTATCAGGCTGATGTTAACAGGCGTTTCCTGCCATCTTTAGCATCCTGTGCTCCTTAGAGCTAAACGTCACGTCCACAGAGCTGTTCTGCAGTCGTAGCCCAGTCCCTGTCAGAGGCGTAAAACACCGGGTGTGCCTGAGTGCAAACACACAAGCCCACATTCTGACTCATAAACATCACAGAGATGATTACACACTGCTGAATTAACACCACTGTGCAGCGTTTATAGATTTAAGAAAATATGTTTCTATTGTTTCAATCTGAATTTATTTTTGCTTTCTCTTTCTTCCTTGTTGCAGCATCCTGTTTACCTTTTCTTCTTCCTGGTTGTGTTTAGGTGTGACAGCTTGAAATCCTCGCAGAGTTATTTAAGTTTCATTTGATCTAATTTAAAACAAGAAAGGTGTTCTCAGCATGGAGCTGGAATCAGTTCAGATACCAGTCAGTGGAGCGAGTTTATGTAGCCTAAATCTACTGATTTCTTTCATGATTTACAGATTTAAAGAACAAACATGAGCACCTTTTCCTTGACTGTTTTAGTGTTCATGTCCTTTGTTTGGAATCATCTTGTTTTCTGGTTGGTCACTTTAACATTCAAATGGTCATATTTGAGGACAATATCACTCAAACATGAGGTAAAAATATTTTGATCTAATGAAAGATGCCTTAAATTCTGCTTTTATGAAACTTATTCAACCCAATTTCAAACTAAGGAGTAAGATAATTAAAGCAAATTTCCAAATCACGTGACATCAGCAGGGATGACTACAGAAGTTCAGTACAGATGATAGACACCCTGATAAATTAAGGAATAAATCAATCGACCAATGGCATGACAAGGCAATCTCACCTCTGTCAGACCACCCCAGGGCAGCTGTGGCTACATAGTAGCTTACCATCACCGGCAGAGTGGGAATATGAGTATGAATAATGGAAAGCGCTTTGGGTGCCTTGAAAAGTGCTTTATAAATCCAATACAATTATTATTATTATTAGTAGTAGTAGTAGTAGTAGTAGTAGTAGTAGTATTGTTGTTGTTGTTGTTATTACTATTACTATTATTATTCACTTTCATCTATCCAGTTTCATCCATTTATCCGGAGTTGGGTTGTGGAGGCAGCAGGCTAAGCAGAAAGGCTGAGACTTCCCTCTCCCCAGCTACTTGGGCCAGCTCCTCCGGGAGTATGCCAAGGCATTCCCTGGCCAGCTGAGAAACATAGTCCCTGCAGCGTGTCCTGGGTTTTCCCTTGAGTCTTCTCCCAGTTGGAGGTGCCCAAAACCCTCACCTGGGAGGCATTCTGAACAGATGCCCGAGCCACCTCAACTGGCTCCTCTTGATGTTTTTTATGTTATTAACTTGACCTGAATCATTTTTTGAACCAGGCTGTACACATGTTTATTTCTGCTGTGAAGGCAGGATTTTTAACATGGGAGTCAGTGGGAATTTTGTCCTTTTTGGATCCAGCTCCTAGAGGATTAGGGGGAAGTGCAATTTTTGTCACATTGGCTTCACTTTTGGCAGTTGGAGATTGCTTCTTGGTCACTAAACGTTGTTTTCAGTATCATACCACAAAGACAATCTGTTTATTTTCAAATTGTTTGTTCACTAGCAACAGATTAAGCTCAAACACCTGATAAAATTCTCATCTATAATCATTTAGAATGAGGCGTGTGTCAACATGTAGGAGAGCGGGAGCGTAGGCTAATAATACGATGGACACGGAAGTCGTGTTACTTATTTTTGAATGACCATTCTCATGACTCTTCAAGTGGTTTAGGCCTGTGTGTTTTTCCTACCATTTCTATGTTTTTGCTATTTAGTTCAAGTTATTAAAACTACTGAATCATATTCATTATTAAATTTTGACTGTATTAAGGTCAAAGATTGTACCGAACAACCCTTCCCTGGGAGTAAACGGACCTGTAGGACTGGGGGTCTGCCCGGAAGGCTTCCACCTTTGGACCAAAGCCTTTGGATCCACACTTAAGAACAGTCTGTGTAAAACATTAAATTGAAGTGCCCAAGCCATCAAAGGACAGTGTTTGTCTTTTGTACGTTCGTTCTTTGTAATCCTTCCACTGTTTCAATTCTTTTTCAAACACAGCGTAGTAGATTTGTTTTTACCTAGTTTTGCTGAGGAAGGCACCAGTGGTAGCCAAAACTTGTCAGTAAAAATAGGTAAAAACAAATCTTCTACTTAGCTGGGTTTAAAAAAGATTTAAAACGATTGAAAGGCAGTGATGTTTCATCATACATCATAGAAGTTTCTATTACATGTTTCATTGGTCTTTTTCACATTTTAGGTTTATATATTTTTCCCTCCTTAATTGTACATACTTTCTCTTCCTCAAAATTCTGTAAAATTCCAAACTTTAAATATCTGCTGAAGCAAGAATATGAAATTCTTCATTAAACAATCTGCCAGATGAATGCAGTAAACTAAAAACTTTGTCAGCGTGGTCCAATCAAACACCCGGTCGCCATGATCTAGCCACAACCAGATGGAAGGCATTAATGTCTCATCACACACACACACACACACACACACACACACACACACACACACACACACACACACACACACACACATGCACACACACACACACACACACACACACACACACACACACACACACGCACACACATGCACACACACACACACACACACACACACACACACACACACACATGCACACACACACACGCACACACACACACATTGATGCTTCCACCCAAAGTGGTACAGGGTTAACCCATTCCCCTTCATCCGCCCCCTTTCCTCTTTTTGTTCTTAATAGGTTTTTACCCACATAGCATTTTAACCACTAGAATCAGGCAACTTTGAAGAAAAAGAATTTATTGCAGCTTTTAAACTAACCTTTATTTTAACAACAAAACACACATTTAGCCATGAGTACACGTTATTTCTTCTCAAAGGAGACGTGTATGAATCATACAGAAGAAAGTTGTAACCCGACAAAGCATCTGAGTTTAATTCACTCCGTCAGAACTCAGGTGTGCTGATTTTAGAGCCTCCAGGCCAGAATGTGAGTCAACTGCCATCTGCACAACAAAACAAACTCCCACTCACGCTTTTGTTTCTCTCCAGTCATAATGTGAAGCCTCCATCATCAGATGGTAAACCCCTCAGCTCGCCTGGAGACTAACTACAACAATACCACAATACCAGGAAGAAAGGGTCCGATACTGCACACACTCAGACACAAAGGCACGTCGGCCTTCGTGCCGCTGAAAAAAATCCCAGCTAAACAATGAGACTTAAGTGGGTTTCAGCTAAGGAATCTTATTGATCTCTGGAGGGGGGCAGCTGCCGTGTATCAGCTTCAGTTGTTTTGGAAATTAATTGTTTGTCACTTATTAAAAGTAAGATGCTCTCGGTGAAATCAGGGAAAGGTGACTTTTGTTTTGAATCGTCAGAATTAGTTTCTGACTTTTTTTCTTAGCACACACTGGAATAATTTTAGATTTGGGATTTTTTAAAAAGGAATTTTTGAAAAAAATAAAAAGTGTTTTCTTAATTACCACAGAAGCATCAAATTTATCTTTGGCTGAATAAAATCATGGGAAATCGAGGTCAGTTGTTTGAATTGGGGCTGCATGGTGATACAGTTGGTGGCCTTGCTGCAAGGATGTGCCGGTTTAAATCTCAACTATAGCGTTTTCGGTCCTTCACTGTGCGGTGTGAAGCAACTCAGCAAAAGCAACACATTACAGGTGAGTCGCTTTCACTCATGGACATACCCCACTCACATGGGACATATCATTAGAAAACATGTGACTTTGAAGTAAACAAACATGGCGGAGGAGGGGTGTGCTGAATGCTTCCGTCATAACGCTTTATGATTGGCTACACATCACATTCAACATTTTTTGTCACCAAAAATCAGACCCAGACAAATTAACTTGTTTGAAAGTCCACATTTGCGATCAATGTGGTCCTAGTGTCCATCTGAGCAGATAAGAGTACTCTTAACACACCACACAAGGTAGGATTTTCTGATAAGATTATCTTTCTCTTAAGATTATCTTTAGAGCTGTTATGGTAATTGTGTGCAAATTTAAGATTGTCAGAAGGGGCGGGGCTAGTCAGAAACAGGCTTAATTATCCTGCCATCTGAGCTAGGCTTTAGTCATTACTAGAACTCTTACCTGAGTGGTTTAGCAGGTTGTTGAGCCCCTCATCCAGTTGTGGATCTATGAGTGAGTCTCGGCCAGGTTCCCAGTCCATGTCTCCGGCCTCACTCTCACCGTGTCCACTGTCTTTGGTGCTCTGCCAGTCCGAGCAGTCCTGGCCTCCATATCTGCACAAAATTGGAATATAATTTTAAATCAAACAGTCTGATTCTGATGGTGCATGCTTGCACAGATGGTAGCACTGTTGCGTCACACCAAAAAGGCTGCATGTTTAAATGTTGCGTTGGCATGATCTCCTCTGCATGTGTGGATTTTTTCAACTATTCCAGCTCCCTAGAAATACCTTGCACGTAAGGTTATTTGGCACCCCTATGTTTTCTCTAGGTGTGAGTGAGTGAGTGAGTGAGTGAGTGAGTGAGTGAGTGAGTGAGTGAGTGAGTGAGTGAGTGAGTGAGTGAGTGTGTTCTGTTTTTCACACACAACCACAGGATAGTCAGAGACAGAAAAGCTCACAGATTAATTCAGTCACTCATCTGAATGATGTTTTATCACATTCATCAAAAGTTAAAGCCGTTTGTTTACCTACATTTACGATTTTCAAAACCAAACCCAAAAAAATACAATTTTATAATCATAATGATTATATATATATATATATATATATATATATATATATATATATATATATATATATATATATATATATATATGCACACACACACACACACACACACACACATAATACAGTAATTTTCTTCAAACACCTGTGAGTGCTGAAACAGTGTCTGTGTATGATTAAAGGTGATGTCAGATCTAATCTCATCACCATGGTGACAGTAGTGTAGCTGCTTCCTGTCACATACTGAATCACTCAAATACAGAGAGCTGTTTCGACCTGCCTTCAGCTTTCTGAGGTTAAGAGACGCTCTTCCTTCATGGTGAATGTTTGACTTGGTGTCCTGTTTGTTTGCTGCTGTTATTTCTGCCTCAGCAGGTCAGTCGGTCACAAGAACAGAGGAAGACATTTATCAGCTGTAGCGTCAGACTTTTAACACATTAAACGTGGACAATATTTCAGCCCTCCAGGACCAGGATTAGGCACCCTTGCTGTAGATGGGGTCTCAGCCTAGCTGAATTACTGAAATAAATGGGCATGTGCACTATATTCTAACTTTTTGTGTTTCACCTGTATGTTGAAACAGGGGCGTCGGACTGGGGGGGAAAGGGTACCGTTTACCCAGGGCCCACTGCAGGGAGGGGCCCTGAGACAGCTTTGAATAAAAATGTTTTATTGTTGTTGTTTTTTTCCCCCAACTTACTTAATGTCTTAATAAATTTCCCTTTACCTGGATGAAGAGGTTAAGAAACAGAATTTCGCCTTAAAAATAATAACTGAATAATCTCTGAGGCATCTATCACCCCTTAAAAATGTGCAAAGTGGTTTAGTCCACACCAGCGGCCAGGGGCTGCCCGGCTGCATGTGCTAATGAGACATCGCAGATGCCGACAGCCAGAGCTGGAGGCAGGAGAGTCAGTCATGTCTTTTCCCAAGAAAGGGAAATCTGGCTTCCAGAAAAGAAAAGAAAAGAAAAGAAGGAGAAGGAGGAAAAGTTAATTGAACAGAAGCAAGTAGAAGGAAGGTGAGCAGCAGCAGCAGAACACAGTTTTAGCTGATATTAGCTAGCTCTCAGAAGCTGCATTCATGTTAGGTGTTCAGTGTTAAACACCTTTAGTTTCACCATCAAGATCAAATATAAATTAATTAGTGTTATCAGTGAAAACACTAATTTTAGGGATAAGCCGGATACTCATTTCAGACGAGTATCCGGTATGGATAACGCATTTTTGACGAATACGAGCATGAAACTAGTAAAACGAGTCATTATCTGTAATCGTGCTGAAGGAAAATCTTCATTGGGTAACTGACTGTCTTCACGCTCTGTGATTGGCCAGTCACATAGAGCGCCCGCCCCTCCCTACTTACAAAACTCTCTAGCCGACCGGGAGCTCAGTCCGGCCGGCTCATCCACGCACACACACAGACAGTAACGGATCGCGCTGTGATGGCTTCACTGTTGCTCACGTTTCTTCAGTTTTCCCTAGGTTTTCTTCAGCTCGCCTCTTTTTCGGTTGAATATTTAAAGTTACTTTTTTCGTAACTGACATGGTGCATTTGACAAGACAGAGCTGACGTGCTGTTGTCACTACCTCCGCTCCGGTGGGGTTTTTAATTTTTTTCTCTCTCTCTCTCTCTCTCTCTCTCTCTCTCTCTCTCTCTCTCTCTCTCTCTCTCTCTCTCTCTCTCTCTCTCACACACACACACTCACACACTCACACACACACACACACACACACACACATTAATCAACATTTCTTTGTTAAACTTTGTGTGGGAAAATGCCAAGAACGTTAAGAAAAAAATCAGTTTAATCAAATTAAAATAAAAAAATATATATAAAGTTGTGTCTGGTTCTAGCATTTCATATTTCCTAGTTCCTACTGCATGGGTTCAGATGTATTAATCCATGCACTCAAATATTAATGTTCTGATTTTATTGAAACACTTTTTCTGTAATAGTTTCTTTACTATTGTGATCAAAAATATTTAATCTCACTTCTGAGGCTGCTCTGTAAATAGTTTTCAAATAAACAATACACATAGCAACTTCTGATCAATCCATATCAATTTCAGACTTAAAATAATACATTGATGTAAACCATGTCCACTTCCGGTTAAACCACGCCCACTTCCGGGTTATGCCACGCCCATTCCGAGTACAGATACAGATAGTGGTGTACTCGCTCATCCCTAATATATATATATATATATATATATATATATATATATTTATTTATATATTAAAATCAGAATTATTATCGCGGGTGGCCGCCGCCAATTAATTCGCGGACCTCGCAGTAAAAACAGGTTCACTCTGTGTGGATATTTCAGCTCCTTCCCAGTCATGGACCAGGACAAACTTGGTATCGATGGATTCGTGGTAATCTCAGGAATGAGAAGCTGCCACTGTTTTTCGTATAGCATGACGACACTGGTGTTAGAGGATTGTTATTGACTTGGTTAGATATTTTAAGCCTATTTTAAATTTCTTTATATTTGATCTTGAAAACGGACAATCTTATAATTTGGCTGATAATGCAGGGATTATAAAATTTAGAGTACATTACATTCACAGAGAGAACCTGGTTTATTTCATGTCATATGTATTTAATATATCAATACATATAAGTATTAGCAAAGCTTAACATCATGAACCATGACAGACATGACTGAAGAGCAGATGAAGACATCATGCCAGGCACTGATGAGAAAATATTACAAGGATCTCACAGCTGAATTTGAGAATGAGATGCTACACCTGAGAACAATATATGGTGCCACATTTCCACACATTCGGTCTCCTCTTGAGCTGCTTAATGCCATACAGGATGCAATTACAGAGCATTTTTGGAGAAGTTTGTATTGGACTGAGGATTTTTTGCACACTGCCTGTAACTGTTGCTGGGGGTGAACGGGCTTTTAGCAAACTGAAACTGGTGAAAAATTATTTGAGATCAACAATGTCCCAGGATAGACTGAACAGCCTAGCTCTTCTTTCTATTGAAAGCCAATTAGCCAAAGGATTGGACTTTAAAGATCTCATAAGTGATTTTGCTAACATGAAGACCCGTCAGTGGGCATTTACAGGAAAATAAATTCCAGGATTTTTGTTTGAACACATTGTTGGCAAATAAAAATAATTATATGTGAAGTCTGGGCATTTCACTTTTATTATGCTGGCATTTGTATTTGCTCAATATAGAGGTTAAACTAAGATCATACACTGTAAAAAAAAAAAAGTTGGGAAAACTCAAAATTTTGAGGCAACAAACTTCAGGAAAGTTTTAAGTTTGGCGCATCAACTTAATATTCTAAGTTATGCATTTGATTTTGACAAACTCTCAATTCTAAGTTTCTCTAACTTAGTTATAAGTTGGAAAGACTCAAAATTTTAAACTGTAATAAGTATGAAACCTGAGTTTATCTAACTCAAGTGTATGTTGTAGTAACTTTGAATCCCAAGTTTTTGTTACCCAATTTTAAGTTGTAAAAACGTAAATTTTAAATAGTACTGACTGTAAATCCTAATTTATACCTCAATTTTAAAAGTTCCACTTACTTAAAATTTAACATTTCACCAGTTATTATTTTTGACTTTTCCAAACTCAAGTTATTGAGGCATAACATTTTACATTTCAACAACTTTTAATTGTGACTTTAGCTTACTCCACTACAACTTGCTGCAACTTTTAACACATTTCACAGCGAAAAGTTGAATTACCACCTCATGTATATATTGCATACACCAACTCTGTTATTAAACAGTATAGGAAAATGTCATTTTTGATAACAGACCACACTTAATAATGTAACAGATGGGTTTAAACAGCAAATTCTAAACAAAAGCAAATTCAGATGCCGATGACAAGTGTTTTTATTTTGAACTTTTGTCACATCATGTTAAACACCATGTGTAACACTTCCCAAAAACTGAGAATGCTTAGTAAAACACTACACAAGTTAAGCTATGGAGCATAAAACTTATCTTGACAGACACTATTGGCATTAAAACATTAAGATCTGTTTGATACAGAACAGCTGAAAAAGCTGAACTACAACTGTAGGAAGCCCAACACATCTAGCTGTGAGACCAGCTGTAAGACTAAATTATTTTAAACTTATGCACTTTAATGTACAATTACAAGACCCTGGTGTGTACCTGGTTGAGTAGCCCAACTCCAGAATAACTGGCTGAAAAGGAACAAACAAAATGCTGACCTTGTATCACACATTTTAAGAGAAACACCAGTAAAACATAAAAATATCTAGCATAGCATTACAAATAAAAATTTATATAATATTTTTTCTGTATAAAACTGTCTTTTTATTAAAGTGGCAACAGTGGAAACAATGACTTGAACTCTACATTTACGTAAGCCCAAAACTGAAAAACTGCAAGACATTAAAGAAAAAAAAGGTACGGTACACCCAACAGCTACCATATAGGATTCATAGAAAAAGCCTGTTTTTGAGGGATCTTACCCTTGCCGAGAGATCTGTCCCAAGTCCCATTAAGATTTTCTGAACCATTTCAAAGGTGTACCTGAGATCTTTTGGGTATTGAAGGTTTAAGACATTGATCAACCCAAAGACAAAGCCAAAAGCCGTTGGCAGATCTGGGAGATCCTGAAGGATGATTGTTTCTTCAACAACCACAGTAAGGTTCATCACATTTACAGCAGGTGAAGTACAGTCATCCTCCAGCACAGTGAGGATACCCACAGAGAGACCTCTTGTCTGCTCCTCCTCTGGGTCAGTATCCTTTTAAGAAGAGATGGAAAAAAATGTTAATGCTTTATTGTAGGGCTGGGCAATATGGACCAAAACTGATATCTCAATTTCTTTTAGCTGAATGCCAATATACAATATATATCTCTATATTTTTCCTCCTGTAAATTATTTACAAGTTAACTCACTTCAAGCTATCTTGAGAAATTATATACAAAAATCAGTAGAATAAATGCATAAAAATGTATTGATTCTTGTCAAACTTTAACTTTAGTGCCTATTCTCTACCAGCCTGAGCTTTAGAAACACTGGTACAGCTGTCTGCTGACACACACACACACACACACACACACACACACACACACACACACACACACACACACACACACACACACACACACACACACACACACACACACACACACACACAGTTGAGAGCTAGAGGTGTATCAAATGTCCCATAGGCACTTTTAAATTATATATTTATAATTAATGTAAAAAAATTATTTCATCTAGAGGTGGGCCATATCATATATTTCTTGCAGACACCTGATGAAGTTATATGACAAAATGTAAAAAAAGAACAGAAAAGAAAAAAGAATTCAGAACAGAAACTCACCTCTAAGCAGTCTGGTCCAGAGTTAAAGTGTTTGGACCCACAGCTCTGCGTTGGTGCACTGTTTGCCAGTGTTTGGGCTGGCTCCTCCACGTCCTGCTTCTACGTCCCGTTGCTCTGTGTATTTCCTCCGCCGTCTATCGGTGTTTGCTCCTCCGTCCCGCTCCTCCGTGTTGTCTGCCCCGCAGTCCCACTGCTCCGTCCCGGTGCTAAATCTGCTCCACCGTCTATGGGTGTAAAGTGTATTAAAGCATAATTTTGTAGTTTTTAAGTCAACGCACATTCAACACTATTTGCTAGCTGCTGTTGCTACATTAGCCATTAGCAATGTGAGTTAGCAATTATTCTCTCAATATTTAGCTTGTTTATCAAAAGAAATTGAAATATTATTAGTGGTAAAGCAGATATCATTTCAAACTATAAACAAGTACGAAATGAAACAGTTAGTTACAGAGGTCCATGTTTTTTAAGTATAGACTAGTTGCAGAATATAGCCTATAGCATAAATCTCAACCGTCGACAGCCTTACCTTAAAAAATCACATGTAAAAGTTGTTTATGAATGTAGGCTACCTTTATATAGCACAAAACATATTCATAATTTATTTTTAACATAATTTGAACCCAGAAAAAAGGGGAAAACTTACCTATGCAGCCTCCTTTGCCTCCGACCACACGCAGAATGAGACTGACTCCTCCAACTCCAAAAGTTGACTTTCCCGCATTTCACAACAAAAGCATGGACGTTAGCAGAACTTGGGCAAGATATTATGAAGTCCAACTTAGATATGTAAGTTCATACGACTCACTTAATATTGTTGAAGCCCACAACTAATTCTGTTTGTCGGGCTGACTTAATTTATTGCACTTAATTCGTGAAACATGGATTTTAAGTTTAAACAACTTAAAATACCTTTTCATCTCAAAAAACATACGTTGCTTTTATTACAGTGTATTTATTATCTTGTCTTATAGCATGACAAAAAATGTGTCAGAGAGATATTAAGTAATTGAGCATGGGGGCCCACCTAGAAGACTTGTACCTAGGGCCCAGAATTTGGTGCTACGCCCCTGTGTTGAAATCAGGTTTGGTTTAATGTCGGACTCCAAGTGGAACAAGGTCAGAAGGATGAGACAATAGTCAAGTTTGCATCTGGATTCTCAAAATGACACATGACAAAATTTTTTACACCACAGCTATGGAATTTAACAGGGTGGGTTAAGTCCCAGGATAACAGTTCTTTTCCTGACGCTTGACGGTTGGGTTTTAAACTCAGATGAAAAAAAGGATAAATCTGACGTACCTGCCGTTACGGTGGGAGTACTTGTTTCCACGGAAGTTTGTCCTTGGCTGCAGCTTACCCTGTCGGAGGAGGGAGAGGAGCTGGGAGATCTGCTGTAAGGAAGAGGAAGAAGGAAAATACTATAAATAAAAATATAGATATATGATATAATATACACAAATGTATAATATAATATAATATAATATAATATAATAGATTATTTAATCTGATAGCTATTCAGCTGATAATCTCAAAGTGAGTTTTGACTCAGGGGCTTTTCAATATTTTTTGTTGATGTTTTGATCAGAACCCCTGAATGAGCCTCTGGGAGTTCAGCTGGTGAAACGATGAGTACAGCACATTTATGATTCATTTTGTTTGGTTTTTTGTCCCAGTGTGAGAACCAAGATATTGTGTCCATCTCACTGCCGCGCGTTTTTGCTGACTGTTCTGTAATATAGCGGATACACACTGCACACCAGGCAGGAAACACACACACACACACACACACACTGGTGGAGGTGTGTGTGTAAATACTAATTTATGGCTGCTGTAGCCTTGCTTGTTGTGTGTTTCTGCTCATGCATGCTGCTGCAGTAACAGGAAATGGCCTCTACGTAAAAGTCCATTCTTCTCTGTGCGGCTTCCTTCCAGGATGGATGGCAGAATCTGGATGTGTGTGTCGATGGGGAGGTAAGCAGTGAGTCTGTCTCTGTCTTCCCAGTCGTCCGGCAGACCTTTCCGTCTGTAACCTCATGGGAGGAGAGAAACAACTGGGCTGACTGGGAGGGATGGGAGCAGGACTGAGCCAGGCACAAACCAACGAGTACTCTTAATGGGATTCATGTGAATGTGTCGGACCTCTTTGTTCTCTGTCTGCTGGGCGTTAGCGGTGACCTTTGACCTCAGTAGTGCAGGTCTGTGTTTCAAAAGCCTTGTGTGCTCAGAAACTGCTGATGCTCAGATTTCACAACATTTTTTAAATATGGTAGAGCTTTGAACAATTGTTTTGCTCTCATCAGCAGCCATGACGGAGAAAACATCAAAGTGTGCAAAAGGTAAAGATCATCGGAAGCTTACTGAACACGAACAGCTTAGGTTCAGATAAGTAAAGAAAGTGCTAACAGCTAACAGCTTCTTGATAACAGTACTGATGTCAGTGTAAATACTCATAAAGTCACTTGAACCATTGAGAAATTTGGAAGACAAGAGCTGATTGAAGAGACATTGTGATTTTGGTTGTTCTCAATCAACTCATCAACATCTAATGTTGGGAATGATTCATAACTTTTACACCGAAGCGTCCCTAAACTCAACAATCATCCTTTACTACTGAAGATACTTTAACACGTAAAGAATTGAGTCTGAATCTGTTTTTCCTCCTTTGTTAGAAATTTGTCTGGTAAAAATAAATAATGGCTCCCACTCACTTTAACTTTCATCCTGAAAGCTTTAACGGATTTTCAGTTCCACCTGAAATGACTGAGCAGCAGTTTTCCTAAATTTAAGCTCAGAAATCAGTCGGCATTGATTGGAACATTGTTTATCCCACTGTGCAAAGACCTAATTTGCACGTTCTAGTGGTGGTCTGGACCGAAGGACTCAAAATAGAAATGATTTGCGTGTCGATTGCGACAATCACTGTTAGCAGGGATGTTCCAAATACAGTTTTCCAACTGAATTCTGCTTTCAAGGCAGCTTGAACTGGAAAAAACTTGCCGTCCTCTGAAGGAGAAAGGTTGGTGAATGTTTTCTTTTCTATGCATGTGTGTGTGCATGCATGTGTGTGTGCATGCATGTGTGTGTGTGTGTGTGTGTGTGTGTGTGTGTGTGTGTGTGTGTGTGTGTGTGTGTGTGTGTGTGTGTGTGTGTGTGTGTGTGTGTGTGTGTGTTACTAAAACATCTCATAAACCACCAAGCAGGTCTGAACTAATTTCAGAAAGTCATAATTAGATATTTGTGTAAAACTTTGTCAACTTTTGGCATCAACCAGATTCAAGATGGAAAATGAGCATTAGCAAAATGCTGAGAGTCATTCACAACACAGACTCCAAATGTCAAACACATACTGGCTCAACGTCATTTTCAAGCTTCTCAGCAATTCAGGCATCAAAAGCTGTGTTCCTTGGTTGGATGCCTTTAACTTGATTTGACTTTACAAAAAACTGAAAAACACCCACTGCAAACTTTCCCACAGAAGTCTAAAACTGTCAACAATGGAAGCTGCTGATCGACTCTCATCTGTCTGATAAACACTTGGGGCTGTTTGGGGTTGATATCTATGCTTACTAAAATATACTTTTAGGTTACTTTGCCTTGCCCTGTGATGGACTGGCTCTCTGTCCAGGGTGTACCCCGCCTGATTGCCCATTGACCACTGGAGATAGGCACCAGCCCCCCCCCCCCCCCCCCCCCCCCCGCGACCCTATGTGGACAAAGCGGGTTCAGGTTCAGACAATGGATGGATTGCTTTGCGTTTATCTCATTTGGTTGATATGATGGCAAAAAAAATTGTAGTTAAAAATGTTTTCTGTGTAATTTGATGTGAATGACATCTCAGAAGTTATTTTTAGTGTTGTGTTGTCTGCCAACTCCAGTGGTTCTGCATCCTGCTCTGTTTTTAGAGCCCCCCTCTTTACTGCTGAAGCTCAGCTCAAAGTGAGGTTGTGGCCATTTATCAGTGTCAGGGCAGTTTTAGCTTACACTACAAAAACATCACAGCATACTTTGGCTGGCTTTAACTCCCCCACCCCCTTCACACCCTCCTCTTCCTCCCCCTGCTTTCTATATGATTCTGATATTAAATAAAAGATGGATTTCAGAGTTTCTCAGAGGATTTTTTTTTTCTGTGACACATGAGCACCTGAATATACCTGCTTTAGGCTTCATACTGATCCATCAACTAGTTACCCCCATCCCCGCCCTTCTCATCTGCCTCCTTCCCCTCCACCCGACTCCAGCCTTCAGGTCGTCTGAGTAACTCATCATTATGAAAAGCTGAGAGGTTTCTGGGAGACAAAGCTGCTGCTGCTGCTGGTGTGTGTGTGTGTGTGTGTGTGTGTGTGTGTGTGTGTGTGTGTGTGTGTGTGTGTGTGTGTGTGTGTGTTAGAGAGAGAGGAAAGGGGGGAGGGGGAGGTGTTTGGCCTTCATTTTTTCTCTAATGGACTTCACTTCAGATTAATCTCAATGCCTGCAGGGGGTGGGGGACATTTAATTACTCCAACGCTAACTGTAAGCACATGGTAAAATAAATGTGATCACACATTTTAGATCAGAGTAGATGGCATTTAAATGAGGGCCAGAAGCAGCTCATCAACCTTAAGGTTGAAGTTATGCTGCAGAATGTAAATAAGAACACATTAAAAAGCCTTCATGCAGATTAGTAAAGTCATTAATGTTGGGGTACATCCATCAACTCGACTTGAATTAACTTGTGTTCTGCTATAAATTAAACTTCTGTACCAGAAAATGAAAAGTTTACAGTTTTAATGAACAATATGTTAGATGCAATTCACAGTTTAGAAACCAAACAACTCGACTTCATTTTTTATAAGAAAAATTGACAATGAATAGTCTTTCTGCATATTTATTTTTAAAAGGCTTATTGTCTCTGAAATTAATGTATCAGCGATCACTGCAACTAATAAACACAACGCAAAGGTCGATTACGTCTTCCATCCATCCATCCATCATTTTTCATCTGCTTAACCGGAGTCGGGTCGCGGGGGCATACCATACCATACCATACCATTTTATTTATAAAGCGCATTCAACATGGCATTACAACCAGACAAGGCGCTGTACATTAAAAGATTACAGTTAATTAACACGTACAGAATGACATTTAAAGCATAGTTTATAAGAAAAAAATGAAAACAAGAAAATACTAGAACTAACAGTCGTAAAACACTAAAAACAGAAAAGGAATGTGAAACAACAGATAAAAACATATGAAAGAACCACAGTAATACAGATGTTAATTATAGTTCATTCTATTGTAGAAAGAATGCAGATGTCGAAAGTGGTCCATGACTATGTATTATATGCAAGGTTGAAGTAGTGAGTTTTCATGCGAGATTTAAAAATGCTAATTGTTGGTGCTTGCCTCACTAGTAGTGGTAATGCATTCCACAGCTTGGGAGCACAGACAGAGAAAGCCCTTTCTCCACGGCTTTTCAGACGTGCGTTTGGAAGAGCTAGGAGGAGCTTATCTTCAGACCTGAGAGCACGAGGCGGATTGTAGTAATGGACGAGTTGACACAGATATGGAGGAGCTTTACTGTTCAGGGATTTATAAGTGAGAAGCATGATTTTGAAATTGATCCTGAGATGAACGGGCAACCAGTGGAGAGATTTTAGAATTGGTGTAATGTGCTGTCTTCTGTCAACTCCAGTCAGGAACCTAGCTGCTGAATTCTGGACTAGCTGAAGTCTAGATTGAGCTGCTTTACTGATGCCGTATAAGCAGGAGTTGGAGTAATCCAGCCGTGAAGTGATGAAAGTGTGGACTACTGATTTGAGAAGACGGACACTCAGGATGTGCTTAAGTTTAGAGATACGCCTGAGGTGGTAAAAACATGATTTAACTGTGTTATTGACCTGAGCATCCATCTTCAGAGCCTGGTCTATTTTAACTCCAAGGTTGGAAATTACAGTGGAGACATTAGGTGAGAGATAGTTGAGGTCGGGTAGATGAGTAGCCGGGATGCTGTGAGGATTAAAAACGATTACTTCTGTTTTGGAGTCATTCAGATGGAGGAAGTTATCAGCAAGCCAAAGCTTAACATTATCGATACAATCAGACAGAACTTGCATTGATTGAGTTGGCTTGAATGAAAAGTAGATCTGACAGTCATCAGCGTAAAGATGGTATGAGACAGCGTGCCTTCTGAAAATGGCTCCTAAGGGCAGTATATAGAGGTTAAATAGTAACGGGCCGAGTATTGAACCTTGTGGGACACCCCAACGGAGTGGTTGTGACTCGGATGAACAGCCATCCAACATGACTCTAGCGGACCTGTTATAAAAGTATGACCTGAACCAATCTAGGGCTGAACCAGAAATGCCAGCCCAAGTCTGAAGTCTGGTGATCAAGATGTTATGATCGATCGTG